CTAACGTTCAGACTGCAGACCGCAGCATCATGAACGTCTCCCCCCCACCGCTTCTCCCCCCCAACAGTACGGCGAGCGTTACGGGACAAAATGTCTTCCACGACGTCCGCATCACCTAGCTTCTCAAGTGATGAGGTTTGTTTACATAGATAATTTTAATACTGCCATCTATTGTTCAGTACCGTCTCAGTTCATCTCTCTCAACTTGCCGTAGTTACTTTCGAGCGTAATGGGCGATCTCGCAATCGCTAGTTTGTTGGCTCTGCGCTGCCGTAGCGCAAAGATGTCTGCCTCCATGGCTGCGAGACCCGCTCCTATTTAATTATAAATAACGAATTCTAAGGCAACGCAAATATTTAGGTTAAGAGGCTGAGCTCGTAGATGATGAAAAATAACATAGTTATGTATAATATATTACATTTCTGACTGTATATCCCTGTAACTATTACACACTGTAGCTTTAAGGCAGGCCATCTTGACATTCATTAGCTTGACTGAATATATATTCCAGATGTCAAAATGCATTTATTCCTAGTCAAAATTAACATTTCAGATATCAAAAATAACATTCCTCTTATCTTAAAAAAAACCATTTCATATACCTGAAATGTTTATTTTAGATAGGAGGAATACTACAAAAATATCTGAAATACAAACAAATATATCTTAAAATGGCCACTTAAAATTAAAGATTTGTAGATATCTTAAATGTAGATCTTACTAGTACAAATTTGATTCCAGAGTACTTAATATTAAATTTCTACTGGTAGAAAATGTACTTAGTGATATCTAAAATACAATTCTGACAAGGAGTATTGTAATTATGACTCGTAGAATCCATCCATCCAACCATCCATCCATTTTTCCAGATAGATGGCACCAGTTTTAGTCTGTGAGGCAGACACCCTGTCAATTTTTAAGGCTAGGCTTAAAACTTTTTTGATAAAGCTCATAGTTACAGTGACTCAGATTATCCTGGACTATCTCTATAGTTATGCTGCTATAGGCTTAGACTGCTGGAGGACATAGGGACAGACCCCTTTACATCATTATGCTTCATTCCATCTCTGTTCTCCCATTCATCCTGCCTATTTTATATTAATACGTTAGTGAAAATATGTTTTTAAGTATCTAAAACTGCATTTTAGGTAGAGATTTTTAAAATTTAGATATCTGAAATTACAATTTAACTAGTCATATATCAACAGTTGATATCTGCAATTATATTTCTACTTGTAGAAATATATTTTAGAGGTCAAGAATTGGATTTCTGGATATCTGTAATGGTATATTCATTTTAGATATCGGAAAGAGTAATTATGACTAGCAATAACTCTATAATGGAGATCTTAAATTAGAATTCATCCTTGTCAGAATTATTTTTTAGATAGGAAGAATGTTTATTTTAGATATGAAAAATGTTATTTTAGATATCTGAAGATAAAAGCCCAATACACATGAATGGAAAACACAGCATCATTTGTACTGGTAAGAATTACATTTTAGCTATCTAAAATGTATATTTTAGATAGCTTTAGATAGGAAAATATACAGATAAAATGTATATTTTAGATAGGAAGAACGTTATTTTAGATATCTGAAATGTTCATTTTGACCAGGAAGAAATTAATTTGAGGCAACTGAAACATATATTCAGTCAAGCTAATAAATGTCAAAAGGGCCCCTTAAAATTTGTAAAGATTTCTAGGTATTTGAAAGTTCACTCTTACTAGTACAATTTTATTTTTGGCAGCCAGAAATGTAATTTTTATCTGGCAGAATTGTAATTTAGGATATTTCCGGGGGCGTTCAATAAGTAATGCCCCAGACCCACTTGAAATTTTGCATGTGGCGTTATTTAAATCTCTATAGATTAAGTGGAAAATTACAGCTCTGAAAAATTCGTTGTTTCTGACTTATCGGTGTTTGAACTGAGTAAAGTCTGAAATGAGGCCTGTTGAGTGTCGAGCAGTGATCCGGTGTTTCTATTGGACAGCACTCACACCACAGGTGTCATGATTTTACAAAGTTCAGACTCTAATGCAGAACACAGAACAGAGAGACCAGGGAAAGGGTTTAACGGGTTTTATTGAAGAGGTTAAACAGAGGGAGAAGTGATGCTCTGAACACTGCCCAACAGGAACTGTAAAGTGAGGGGAAGACACAGCAGTAAGTTCAGGCTCAGTAGGGAATTTGACTCGTGAACTTGGAGAAGAGGATTTGGTTGCCGACTCACGTTTCCAGAGAAGTTGTTGAATCCTTGACTCCTGTCTGTGTGCCGTGGTTCCAGTGTTTGTCTGATTCGGTGGAGGGCGGAACAGGGTTTACCCAGAATGCGGTTGTTAGTTGGTGAACGGAGAAACTGACTGCCACTCAGATTTCCTGCGGTACTTGAACGGGTCGTAGTGGAGAATAATCCCTTTCTCAGTGAGAAGCCCAAACGATCTCTTGGGGAAAGTGGATCCAAACCTCCTGTTTGAACCCCACCTCAGTTTGAAGCTCAGTTGATCCTTCCAGGGAGAAAAGGTCCGAGAAATCCAGTTTGCAGGATGACTTCCTGCCGGGGGCAAAGACAAAACCAAAATTAAACTCAGGTTGAATAAAACTCAGTTTGACTCAGCAAAACTCAGCTTGGCTAGAGTACCCTAAACTGGCAAACACTCTGGCGTTGCGGTAGTGGCAGTCAGCAGCTTAAGAACACTCTGTTTAAGGTGGAAACCATCAGCAGGTGTGTGAGGAGGCGGACCAGAACCAGGCTCCCCCTGGTGGATGAAGGGAGACAAACACAGAAACACAAACACAAAGACAGGAGTCCTGAAAACGGGAGACTTTTGATGAAATTAAAGTAACTTATGGGACATAAAAGTCTCCCATTGTGTGTGTCCTTTCAAATGCAAAAAATCAGACTTGACTCAGTTTTAACACCAGTAACCAGAAACCACAATTAGTTCAGAGCTGTAATTTGCAATTTAATCTATAGAGATTTAAACAGAGGTGTCAAGTAACGAAGTACAAATACGTTGTTGCTGTACTTAAGTACACATTTTAGGTATCTATACCTAAAAATCTGTAAAAAGTATTGATACTTTTTACTTATTTTTCTTCTTACTTCTGACTTCTACTCATTACATTTTCACACAAGTATCTGTACTTTCGGTTACTCGTTTACTCTTGACTTCGGTTTAATGCAGAGGTCATGGATTAGCGGACTGCGCCGCTTCTCCTGTTACCCTGAAATCCCACATCCTCCATCTCCGCTCCAGACCTCCTGCGCAAAGCAAAGCCTACAGCCCCCTCTGTTCCTCCCGTATTGCTGCGCTCCGACTTATCCTCAGAGCTCGAGGAGAGCATGCGCGATACTATCAGTAAATTCGTAGGAGCAAAACATCCAGAAATGAACACTTAATTTAATATGACATATTAAATAATTCCCATCAGCATCCAGCTTATGTGCGGTTTCTGATGGAGATGAGAAATCTGTTTCCTGGTCTGTTGAAGAACCAATAGTTTGCATCCAATCTTTTAAATAAATGGTGTTAGTTTTTGAAATATAAAAGAACTATGCTCTAATTTTTTATTACCAATCTGTTGTTACGATATTTTATTTTGACAAACCAGATCTTCTTGCCGTTCTTTTTCTTCTTTGGTGTGTGTGCAATAGCGGATCTTGACCTGGCCGGACCTGAGCGGAGCCTGAACATTTAGAGTATGTTTGGCTCAACCTGCTGCTGTGAGGCAGGATTCTCCACCATGAATCAAAAATAAATATGGATCCAGGCTCAGAATGAGCTCCTTGATATGTCCTTTAGAATGGCTTTGTCTCCATTCAAACCCAGGTTTAAAGCCTTGCAGGGCAGCATAAAGCCCACTGCTCTCATTAAGACAGAAAATAGAAAAAAACAAACAAAAAAGAAAACGGTCAGTTCAGGTGTTTTATGAAATATGTGAATCAGGAAATTGTCTATATACCAAACTGAAAGATTGTTGTTCTCTACTTCAAAAAAAAACTTTGGATTTTTTAATTGAAAAATTTTCTTCCTTTTATTTATTTTTATTTTTATTATTTATAGACTCAATGTATAGCGTGAATGAATAAAAACCTCATTTTATTTCAGTGTTAAATTCTGTTTAAAGTGACAGATCATTAAAAATGCTGCTGATTTTTAATTGGTTACCCCTGGTTTAATGTTTATAAATATTTATTTCAGATCTTGTGCACCATCCAATGCAGATCATTGCTGCCATCCACATCTAGTGAAAACTAGTGTAATTGGATGAGTCATATAACGCAAACACTCATTGGTTAGCTGAAGGAAATCATCAGAAGCAAGCAGGTGTTCTTCAAACTGCAAATATGAGTTGTCTATGCCATGCTACAATGTAGGATTCAGTAAAAGATGTTGAAATGTCTGAAAGGTTTGGACACAGGCGAGAGCGTATCGGGAGATGGAGACCTACAAGACCTCCCTCATCCTTCGCTCTATCTCAAAGAATGTTTAGAAATAAAATTGAGCTTTCAATTCACATAGTGGCATCTGGCTGTTTTTTAAAGGTTACTTTATACTTTTATACTTTAAGTAGTTTTTGGAGCAAATACTTTTTCACTTTTACTTGAGTAAAGATACTTCAATTTTTGCCAGGGTGTTTTTAAACTGCAGTATCTATACTTCTACTTAAGTAACAAATGTGTGTACTTTTGACACCACCGCATTTAAAATACTTCACATGCAAACTTTCAGCTCGATCAAACATCTGGAAGTGGGCCAGGGGCGTTACTTATTGAGCATTTCTGGCCAGTAGGAATGTCATTTTGACTAGGAAGAATTATTTTAGAGATCAACAAATGGAACAATAGAGAGGACAGCGCTTCTAATAAATGTAAAATGGCCTGCCATAAGCGCTTCTAATAAATGTAAAATGGCCTGACATAAGCGCTTCTAATAAATGTCAATATAGCCTGCCATACCGGTATGCTTCTCTGACCACCACTGATGACGTTTCACAGTTTGCCTAGATCTCGTGAGATTGGCGATTGGGTGAGATGTTTGCTGGACGTCACAGTTTTTTTTGTTTGTTTTGTTGTTGTCATATGGTGGAGAACAACATCCAGCGGTTAAATAATCACCAACGGGCCGTGAAGGACTGACGGCTCCTGGTTGTGGCTCGCGAGGCTCCCGCTGTTTCCTGATGTCCGTTGCGGTGTTTACCCCGCAGACTGGATCTCTTTCTCGCGGCTGTCAGTGAAGGGATTTGGAGATTGAAGGCCTTTTTCTGTCCCCTGTCTGCAGACTGACGCTCATTGAGCACCGTATGAATTTCCAGGCCTGCTAACAGAAAGGTGGTTTCTAGCGACAGTCGGGAGAGCAAAGGAAGGCCGAAGGTCCTGCCTCTGAGGGGAGACCTCGGATGATGTGCGCCTGAAAGCTGCTGGATGTTAGATCTGCTCAGCGCGCGCCTCCACTCACAAAATGTGGTTAAAACTTTTCTTTTTGCTCCTTTATTTCATGATGTTGTTTGTGCTCGCTAGGATTTTTGAAGCTGTGGTTTGGTATGAGACTGGTATGTTTGCAACGCAGCTGGTAGATCCAGTTACTCTGAGTTACAAGAAGTTGAAAACCATCCTGGAGTGCAGAGGACTGGGTTACAATGGCCTGGCTGAGAAAAAGGATGTCAGCGAACTGGTGGAGAAATCAGGTAAAAACAACAAAAACCTCAACCCTGGAATTAGGACAACAGATTGGACTGATACAGCGGCTTTTAAGGCCGATCCTGGTTATTTTAACCATACATGTGCTGCTAATTATTTTGGGGCCATTTCTGCTTTTTATTCCTGTCTTTATATTATAAAAATGACTCATTAGCCCATTTTCCACTGAAAGCCCCCTGATTTTGAACTCTTGATATCGTTGCTCTGAAAAACCCAAAACATTCAGCCTAAGATAAACTACACTACACCTTCAGCCCAGCAGGTGGCGGTGTGGGTACCAGATCTGCTCAGGTGCGTAAGCCAGTAGAGGCCTGCATTGGACAGATTTTCCAGTCCCGCTCCCGCCCAAATTTCCGCATGAATCCGACGTTCGCCTACTGCTCAAGACAATTCATGTTATTAGTTTGAGGAATTAAAAGTGTGTGCTTAGCTGAGGACATTATTGGCCGATTCTTCACCGCATTGGGTGGCTCGAGCTGCTGCTTCACAGCAATACCCAGCTAACCTACCAAAATCTACTACGGATATTAAAGGAATAGTACACCCAAAACATGATTAGCCTTCATTTTCTACTCACCCCCATGCTGAACAACACTCTGGAGTACTTTTTTGATATCTCAAATGCATCTGGAGATCTGGGAGGCTTCTTGCTGTCTGCTGACATTCAAATAATGGAGGTCTATGGCGCCCGAGGCAGAAAGGTCCATAAAAGTTCACAAAAAACGTTTCAATATTCCTCCATACTGCTCGTCCAATGTATTCCAAGTGTCCTGAGTGGGTAGCATCCAGAATTTACTCGAAACGAAGTCATTTAGAATGTTTTTAGACAGAGACGTGGCTCACATCATCAACCCCGGACAACGCCATTAGCCTGGAGGGGCTAGCTACTTTCCGCGCCGACAGAAACAAAGAACTCAGCGGTAAGAGCCGAGGAGGCGGACTCTGTGTTTACATCAATAACAACTGGTGTAAAAATGCTAGAATAGTCTCAAGTTTTTGCTCTCCGGACATAGAGCTTCTGACTGTTAGCTGCAGACCCTTTTACCTGCCCAGAGAGTTCACTGTTGTTACCATCACAGCGGTGTATGTCCCCCCCAGCGCTGATACAAAGGAGGCCATGAGTGTTCTCTATCGGACTGTCTCTGAGCTGCAATCTACACACACAGAGGGCGTTTTCATCATTGCTGGAGATTTTAATCAGGCGAATATGAAAACTGTTCTCCCTCATTTTTATCAACACGTGGATTTTGCTACTCGTGGAGAGAACACTCTGGACTTAGTTTATACAAACATAAAAGACGCATTCAGAGCAGCCCCCCGCCCCCACATCGGCTCCTCAGACCACCTTTCTGTGATGCTAATTCCTGCATACAGACCCCTGCTGATCAGAGCAAAACCTACAGTGAAGCAGGTGAGGGTCTGGACGGAGGGGGCCATGGATGCACTCCAGGACTGCTTTGAATGCTCTGAATGGGACATGTTCAAATCAGCAGCAACATATGACAACAAGATCAATGTTGATGAGTACGCCATGACTGTTTCAGCCTACATCAACCACTGCATCGAGGACGTCAGCACAACAAAGACCATCACCACCCGAGCCAACCAACGGCCCTGGATGACTGAGGAGGTCCGCCACGCGCTAAAAGCACGGAACTCAGCCTTCAAGTCTGGTGACAAGGAGGCACTGAGGACAGCTAGAGCCACCCTGAACCGTGCCATCAGGTTAGCAAAGCGGAACCATAACCAGAAAATCCAGCATCTGTTCCACGACGCCAACAACACCAGGAGCATGTGGCAAGGCATACGGGCGATCACAGACTACAACACGCCCCCTGCCCCGGTGGATGAAGTTGATGCTGACTTCCTAAACGGACTAAATAACTTCTTTGGGAGGTTTGAGGCACTAAATCGCACTCCAGCAGTGAAGGCTGTCCCACATCAGGAAGAGGAGGTTCTCTGCCTTGACACAGCCGACGTGTGGAAGACTCTGAGGAGGGTCAACCCGCGGAAGGCCCCAGGTCCCGACAACATACCTGGGCGGGTGCTCAAGGAGTGTGCAGGTCAGCTAGCTGGTGTCCTCACGGACATTTTTAACACCTCGCTGGAGCAAGCCACAGTGCCAGCATGCTTCAAGTCTGCCTCCATCATCCCAGCGCCAAAGAAACCTCAAGTCACCTGCTACAACGACTACCGGCCCGTCGCACTGACTCCCATCATGATGAAGTGCTTTGAAAGGCTGGTAAAGGAACACATCGTCTCCAGTCTCCCCCCAACACTCGACCCGTTCCAGTTTGCCTACCGGCGAAACCGCTCCACTGAGGACGCCATCTCCTCTGCTCTTCACCTGAGCCTGGCCCACCTGGAGGAGAAGAACACCCACGTGCGGATGCTGTTCCTGGACTTCAGTTCAGCGTTTAACACCATCATCCCACAGCACCTGGTGGGAAAGCTGGAACATCTGGGCTTCAACACACCCCTTCGAAACTGGCTGCTGGACTTCCTCACCAACAGACCTCAGTCAGTCCGGGTCGGTCAGAACACCTCTGATGTCATCACCCTCAGCACGGGCTCCCCTCAGGGCTGCGTCCTGAGCCCCCTGCTGTTCACCCTGATGACATATGACTGCGTCCCCAGGTTCACCACCAATCACATCGTGAAGTTTGCGGACGACACCACGGTGGTGGGCCTCATCAGGGACGACAACGACCGGGACTACAGAGAGGAGGTGGAGCAGCTGGTGGACTGGTGCAGTGAAAACAGTCTGATCCTGAACGTGGAGAAGACGAAGGAGATCATCGTCGACTTCAGGAAAAACCGCCCCCACCATGCTCCACTGCTCATCAACAGCTCAGCTGTGGAGGTGGTCAGCAGCACAAAGTTCCTGGGGGTGCACATCACGGACAACCTCACCTGGACTGTAAACACTTCATCTCTAGTGAAGAGGGCACAGAAGCGCTTGTACTTTCTGCGGAGGATGAGGAGAGCCCGCCTGCCCCCGCCCATCCTCACAACCTTCTACAGAAGCACCATAGAGAGCGTTCTGACCAGCTGTCTCTCTCTGTGGTGTGGAGGCTGCAGAGCTTCTGACTGGAAGAATGTGAGGAGGGTGGTGAGGACAGCGGAAGGAATCATTGGGGCTCCTCTTCCCTCCATTAAGGACATTTCATCACAGCGCTGTGTGTCCCGAGCCCGTAATATCATCAAAGACCCCTCACACCCCCACCATGGACTGTTCTCCCTGCTGCCCTCTGGAAAGAGGTTCCGCAGCATCCGCTGCAGATCCACCAGGTTGTGCAACAGCTTCTTCCCCACTGCCATCAGACTGTTGAACCTTTGATCCACAATCCGAACTCTGCACCTATTGCACATTATCGGGCATCAAATGCTGCTGAACTTTTAACTTTTAGCCCTTTAAATTGTTCATCTCATTGTATTTTTCAATAACGCATTTTTTGCACAAATGCCATTTTGCACTGAACCACTGCAACTTGCACACTGTCTCTTATCCTCTGCACTGTTCACACTTTGACCACTGCTGCACTTTTTGTATTTTTCTATAACTCGTGCCATTGTGAAATATCAATGCAACGTTCATAAGCTGTATGTAACGCAATTTCGTTCTGTATGCACCCTGTGCATACAAAATGACAAATAAAGAAGTCTAAGTCTAAACAGTAGTGTATAGGATTTCCTGAAAGCGCGCACATGCGCGATCACGACGCTACGGAAGCCGGCAGACCAAACCAGCGCATTCAGCTCGGCAAAGAACTCATGCTCTTCCTCAACACTGAAGTCCTCAGACATTTTTCTTTCGTTGTTTCTTTCTTTGCACAGGTAAACGGCACATTTCTTCTTCTACGCTTGCATTATTGGAAGAGCAGACGCTGAATGCGCACTTTCATCTGGTTTGGTCTGCCGGCTTCCGTAGCGTCATGATCGCGCATATGCGCGCTTTCAGGAAATCCTATACACTATTGTTTATGCTCTAAAAACATTCTAAATGACTTTGTTTCGAGTAAATTCTGGATGCTACCCACTCAGGACACTTGGAATACATTGGACGAGCAGTATGGAGGAATATTGACACGTTTTTTGTGGACTTTTATGGACCTTTCTGTCTCGGGCACCATAGACCTCCATTATTTGAATGTCAGCAGACAGCAAGAAGCCTCCCAGATCTCCAGATGCATTTGAGATATCAAAAAAGTACTCCAGGGTGTTGTTCAGCATGGGGGTGAGTAGAAAATGAAGGCTAATCATGTTTTGGGTGTACTATTCCTTTAAGAGCTGTTGAGATATAAATAGTTTTTAATAAACAAACACAGTTTGAAAATAGTCTTTCAATTATTTGCTTTAAAAGTTGCTGTCTGATATATATTTATGTCTCCTCCACGCTTTGTAGCCATCCTGTAATGAAGAATGGCTTTGTTATCCTTCCATAAAGCTTAGATTTTAATTATCGTTGTCCTGTGGACAGAGTTTTGTTTCTCTCACTAATTCTCTCCTCTCTGGACCCTCTTTACACATATAATTATTAGGAAACATCTCTAAGAATTAATATTTTGTCTTTCAAAAATAACAATCCCACTCTATGTACCTTGAGAAAGTACACATTCTGGTGTTTTAATTGGAGAAATAAAAAAAGGCCTCAGAAAGGAACAGTGGCTTCTCAACCTATTCTCATTATGAGTGCGTATGAAATCATACGAAAAGTTATGCACCGTAATTTCGTACGTTTTGGACGTTTTTTTTCGTCGTATGCGCATCTGACGCACCATTCACGAATATAGAATATAAGTTACAATTAGCCCTAACCCTGACCCTAAGCCTAACCCTAAGATATAAAACAGCAAGCAACGTAGTTAGAGACATGAATAAGTGATGATTGCACTGTTTTTCCCATTTTTACGTCCTTCTGCTTTTTTTTTTCTGTCTGCCAGCGCATGCGCACTGATGTGGTTTTTTTTTGAGGAAAAACGTCCAA